TTTAATTCTGATCAGTAAACTTTAACAGTAAAGCTTGTTTTTAAAATCTTAAGGCAGCTATAGCTTGCATTAATTTTTTTATTTTGAGTGGAAAGATTTATGATAAACCTACATTGAAATGCGTCACCAAGTACTTAGAGTTTAAAGAAAACGTTTCAGGTAGTCATGATCACATAGAAATGTTTATTGTATCAATATTCACCGCGTAAACTGGAAAGAGATCTACATTTATCCATTTCTGAAATATTCAACTATTTCAAATTTTGTATTCCCTTTGATGACCTCAAAGAGAACTAGAAGGGTAGTATATGAGTCTTTATAAAATGGTATAAACCTCACCGATAAAGAAATGATCGAGCAAAATAGTACAATAGGGCTTGAATCTCTAATCAAATCAAATAATCGACCCACCTTCAAGATAAAATTGCTTCTATTTACAAACGCATTTAAACTCATGTTTTATAAACTTGTTATTCTTAAAATAACATGCTTTTACCTTACCAAGACAAGCAACAATTAGATAACGTATTAATGCATTATTCTGACTGAAACATTCATACACAAAATTCTTTCACTATAAATTCCTGTTCAATTTTAATAACGTTAATACAGATTTTGTTATCAGTTGCGACAAATTCATGTGATAAGTACACCATAAATTGAGAAGGCATATTTTGTTTGAGTCCTGTAATATCTTTGGACAACACTTGCCGAACAATCTAATCACATACTTGTTTGTCTTTCTTCGAATAACCATTAGACATCAGGTCAGTATCCAACATGGAATCACGTCAACTGAAGAAATACTGAAGGCTTAGGAGCACTGAACAGCTGTTTCGTCCTAATAAGGGACTCGCTAGCAGTGCGCACCCATGACCTCACTATGGATTCCGACATAGTGACTCAATCGTAGTGTGCTGACCGTGGGGCCCGAAATTCTCGGGTTTGAGCTCCGGAGGTGTCAAAGGCGGGCACTGCTGAATAGCCCCAAACCAAGACGAAAAATCTCTCCAGTACCCTCAGGTTTCCATCGTTTCTCCAACTTATGTTAATACATGATGAATACCAACCTGAAATCAATAAATAAGTCCCCACAAACCTCAAAACTGAATTCTTAGATAATGAAAATATTAAACTGGGAGAAAATGTAAAGAGGTCAAACAACGAAACCCAAAGTAACAAGGAAAATTGATAAAGTAAAAATTAATAGTGCATTGACCTTGTTTTGTAATCCGGATGAAGATTTAACATGATGACAAACAGCTTTTAAAAGCTTTTTCAGAGGTAGTTTAAAATTTTTAAAGGCTAAAGCGCTAGTTAATTTGAGGACATGTCTACAAAACTTTCTGTAAATGCGTCTAAAACCTACAAGTATTTACTTCACGAGCTATTTCAGTGATTTTTTGGCAGTCAGGGTACCAATACGTTTGATAACACCACTGACGGGGTCTTTTGATCTAATCTACTTTTGCGACCACTTGGTGATGTTTTCTGTCGTTCATAATTGCACAAGTCGAGTCACCATGAAGAATGCATTGACCCAAGTCCATTTAAATTATTGTATACAACTGGATCTAACATTACCATTTACACATTCCAAGGGCTTAGAAGGATTTTTTAGTTATTCGTACTTCAGGTTTAAAGTCTCATTCTGGTAGCGGCATTAGACATCACATTTAGATCCAAAGCCATGACAGTCACCTAATTGTGGTAGGTTAATACATGCTTCTACCTTTCCCCCGAATCCACGATGCGTTTGGGTAATGCAACGATATTCCACCAGCTCATAAATTCTCAGGTAGACTAGACTTCAAGCAAAATTTCAATCATAAATCCGAATTTTTCTTCCAAAGTTTTTCTGTGGATATTTGATGAGTCCTGTTAGGTTTTCTGTAGTTAAACATTTTTACTGATCCCTCTTGGCATCGATCCATCAGTATGCATGCCGAAGGCAAGCAACTTTTATCACTATTCACGTGTTTAGCATATATCTTTTTACATCCTTCGATAGATATAAGATTAAGGCAAACGTAGATGACAAATATAATCAGAAAATAACTGTGATCAGAAAAAAGACAAACCTTGTTCCATGATTTGTGAAGAATTTATCTACATCTGGATAGCTTTGATCGAGAATTGAGAAACAAAGAGGAAGGCTTAGATGTTTCGTCTGCAGTGCATACCAGCGTTACTTCACATAAATGAGCAGATTAACAAAAATTATAGTGTTAATATACTTCTATGTTCAAGTCCACAGACTACTGGAAAATACTAAGAAATTCTGAGGCAGAAATTAGTATACAGTATGACAAGCAAATCAAAGGATCTATATGGAGCAATGATTACTGCGAAAATGGAGACCGACTGTTCCACAAAGATGTGAGAAGTAGTCATGAAATCTTATTATGTTTATTTTATGGATTACACATAAAAGTAGGTTTGTCAGCTAGCCTGCGTTTCCTTTTAACCCATTACCTTCATAAATTGAATAGGATTTCTTGAACTCTGTAAACCTGAGATTTTAACCTTTTTACAATCTAGTTCCTGACTGCATCTCATTATATGCCTGAAAATTGAAGAAAATGGGGCTGGGTTGTTTAATCGATTAAACAACCCAGCTCAGAGAACACAATACAGCCAACTTCATAACTGTGATTCCTGTAGACTGTACATGCTGTTACGTATCTTTTGTCGAGTTTTTATTGTTCATATACTAAATATTTCAATTTGTTGAGGATTCTCTTTAACAGTTTCACAGATTTTCGGGCTACCTGGGTTTTGAGGTTTTGAGTAGTTTTCTGTTAATCTGTGTCATATTCTTCATATAAAAGGGTGTGTCTATGTTGTTCATCGCTTATGAGTTGTGTTTTCTGAAATTATTAGAATACAGTTTATGCAATACAAATAACATTTGTTTCTGATTAGAATGTAGCTCACTTTAATGTCTACACTTCATTAGTCTGTTTGAAAAGTTGCTTCAATGACCACATATTTGTGTTTAAATCCATAGAAGCGCATGCCGGAAAACATTCAAGATAAGAAGTGAGGAATTTGTAGGAATTCATCCATGAGATTTGTTTTCAGACAGATAAAGTATAGTCAATGGTTACTGCATACATTTGAAAATAAGGATGCATTTCATTGACAGCGTAGTCAGTAGCTCAGGAGATTTTCTGCCTAGCTATAGTGGCTCACCAATGGACCATACACAAACTGAGCCAATTAACTCCAATGAGTCATCTGAAAACACAATTCGGAAAATACTTATCAAATAACTGCACTTCTTACGAATAGGGAAAATGAAAGCCATGATCAAATCAATTCACCAATTTCGCCTCACTAAGGAACTCAAAGACAGAGCATGAGATGCTAACTGCTTTTTATTAGTTATGAAATGATTATGAAAGTGTGACAGTGTCAACAGCCAAATGTCAGTCAGTTAAAAGCGTTAATTTATGAAAATAATTCCACCTTGAAAAATGATATTTTTATAACAAAAAAATATACGCTACATGAAAACGGTAACATATGGTGATAAGCAAGTAGGGTGAAACTAATAGTCATAATAATACAACTGTTTATCCTGATAAACCTATCAAGCCACGTAAAATGTTTTCCACTGCTTCGTAGTGTTAAATAATGGCAGCTAATCGACAAAATACCAGGGATCTGGATTTCATGATTATTGACAAGCATTAGCCGGGATGGTCTACAACCATGTGGAAACTAGTGTCCTTATGGCTATACTAGTTTGTACCGCTCAGTGAAACCAAGGATTTTGATAGTACACTAAATAAATTGCGAAGACTGATAAATTTCAGTCAACACTTCGTATTTGGAACTTGTTATCCTACGTTGGTTACCATCGAGTTACAAAGTTTTATATCTTTTAACAGGTAACAACTTTTCACCTCGAGAAAAACGTGTGATAGATCCCAATAACCAAATAAGAAACCTTTTATCTTCACTCAATATTTTTGGCATTAGCGGACCATAAAGGCAAAAATATTGATCTCATCCAAATTCAAATCATAAAAAATGAAAATCAAGGCTTCAAAAATGAAAAAGACTGAACAAATGTATTAGTGTGAGATAATTTGGTATGCTGTGATGCCTTAAAACTAACTAGTTACTGTCTAAAATTCTTCTGTCTTGTCAACGTATAAATAAATTAAAAAGCTTCTTTTTTTCCATAACCTAACAGAATCTTCAAGCTTAGAAACGGGTAAACAACTCTTCGTGGGGTTCGGTTTAGGCAGCTTATGTCCACTGTTGATGCCAACTGTCTTGAAATCATCGGTAGTCTTTCTAAATATGAATTACAAATGAAATGCCTTAGTTGGATCAGATGGGAAGACGGGTATTTGCTGATGACACAGTCCGATGATAGCAATGCTATATTACAAATATTTTAAGTTCCATTTGTGAGCTGTTTAGCTACAAGCCAATGACTGAATAATAAAGTGGTCTGTATGTGGCCAGACATTTTAAAGTTTTCTACCACATAGGATCGTGAATGTGGACTACTTAAGTAGATCTTTAATTGAGTTCAGTGTGTTGTAAGAACTTTGAAGGTAAACACTGCCTTAACACATTCATAATAAGAGAAAATGGCTTTGCATGCTCATAAGTATAGTAAGAACCTCCTTAATATCTTCTCTGTCGTTATTAGTTGTATGAGAACTTTGGTGGTAATCAAACATCTCTATAGTAAAGCTTTTACTCTTTCCTGGGAGTAATACATGCACGTTTTTACGTTTTCACGAAAAAATGAAGAAAAATGTCAAAAAGTTGACAAGTTACCTCTGTATGGTCATTGACGTGACCTATGTATGAAAAAAGGTGTGCGCCTCATGTAAAACCGTCCAGACAAAACTACCTCACCTCGCTGCCCTATTTTCATTGTTTTTTTCAGTATTTCTTTATGAAATCAGTGCTTTTCCAATTGATGCATTTAGTGTGAAATTACCACTACAATGAGTCTGTCTTGTTCGATTTAGCTTAAAGAAGATATTCGCTTCTCCGAACCACTATCGTTCAATGTTTCACTTGTCATCAGACGTATCTAAGTCAATCAAAGAATCCCAGACAAAATTTCAAACAACTCAGGTGATTAATTCAAAAAATCTTCCTCTTCGAAAAATGCGACAGGAACGTATCTTCCTTACAACTAATGATTTGGAAGAATATGTGGATAACACTATAAATCTGGTTGAAGAAATACTGACAAAGCATTATTCAGATAAAGATTCCAAACTTATTTCGGAAAACTTCATTGAATACATCAAACGAAATGCCATGAGAAATGGTGAAGACCAAATTATTTATTCAAAGAAACATTCTTTGATACCAGTGATGACTTTAACACATATACGCTTAAGCTTACTAATTTTAGACTGTCTAATTATTGTGTACAGATTTTTCCACACCTATGAAATTTTGAAAGCTATATGGACTGGTCAAAAGTTATTTGTTGATGCATCGAGTTGGTTAGAACGACAGATGAACACTATAACCGATAAAGAAAAGGAAAATCAGTACTTTCAAGAAGGAAATAAACTAACAGCACATTTCAACAAACACTCAAACTCACCATTTAATGATAGAAAAAACTGTGTACATTCTGATCATGTTAGTTGCAATGAAACTGTAAACAAAAGATTTTCGAGAATAGGGTTGTTCCAGTGTATTCCACAACAAGAAAATCGTTATGAGTGTAAGCATGATGGACAGGTGAGTAAACTTTTACCGTTTATTACGATTTTATCAAGGTTTTACAAACGAATACCAATTTGATTTTTGATTTAAGGGACATTTGGCAAATGTTTCGTGTTTATGAAACTGAAGCATTACTTTTATCTGCTTTCTGTCATTTTCCAACCGTTTACACCCGTCTGCTGAAGATATGGCAGCAGGATAATATAATAGGCCCTCATATAATAGGTCTGAGCCATTGTTTAATACAGGACCATTCAGAGGGCTGATGAGTTACGTTTCATTTTTTCTAACCGTCTTAACAAGCAGAATAACTTGATTCCAGTAGAGAAATATACTTCTAGGAAACCCATTTCTAGTATCACATTGGTAAATATACACTAGAAAGGTTAAACACTCCATAGTAATCTTCGGTCATGGGTTGAACTGCGCTTGACACTAAAGAGATTACGTTGTGTCAGAGATTGAGAAAAGGAAGATAAAAGATTAGATGATGAAATGTAAAAGCTTGGTTAGAAAATAGCTTATGATAATCAATACATCACAATAAGTATTAGGAAGGAAGATGTGAGAATCAACAAAGGATGGATATGAACATGAAATGAGCAGTTGTGATTCCAAAAATACGCACATTTGAAATATCTTACGGAAACTTAATTACTGAATAATACCTAAAGTGTGAATCACTGGATTGGCCGAGAACATGCAGAAGACAGTTTTTCTATTCCTAGACCACCCCATACTCTATATCTACCTACTAACATTGTCTAGTTGAATCTATGTAACCTGTCTTCAGTTTTATAGTCATGATGACTTCAGGAAATTCATGAATGGGGGGTTTCTTGGTTTAAAGTATTGCAGGTAGCTGCTTTCTTACAGCGATAAAATAACCCGAGATGGTGGTGACTGAATGAAGCACATACACTCGTGTGTTGAAAAACTGGTACAATATTGTGATGATAATTGTAATTTCCCGTTGCTATACAGAGCCATCCCAGTGAGTGATGTTGTTCCCAATGAGGCTTAGCAGTATCGAGGCAACCTCATAGGAGCCCATCTGCCAGTTGAGATCGATAAATCCGGCTCTGTATAGCAACAGGAAATTACAAGTATCACTACAGCAACTGATACGCGTTGCACAAGAGGTGGTTATTGGTTATTGTGCACCAGTGGCTTAGTGGACAAGTGAAGTGTACTGGTTCCCAGCTTCAGTGGGAACAACACCACTCACTATGGTGCAGGTATATCTAGCTGGCGAGTTCCGAATAAGACGAAAGGCGTAAACTAGATTTCTCTACAAGTCACTAAGATCAATATAATTGGTACAATATAGTGACCTTTCTCAATACTCAACTAGGATATGTGAAAATTTACAAATGGTGATTGATTTTTTCATTAAAAAGTGACACCGTGACTGCTAACGACTTTGTACTGAGAAAGAACTAGTTTCACTAGCTTTGGTTCGCGCATCAAAGAAAAGTTATTTATTTTTCTGAATAGAATATAGTGGTGCTCCTAACCTCATGTAGTCATTGTTCTGTTGAGTGTTATGGTTGATTAAATCATGAGGAAGTTAACATTACAGCTGGATGAATGAAAATAAAGGTTCTTAGTCTTTCTTAAACTGGTCTTTAATTTTGGACTTCACGCGCATTACGGAAAATCTCTACGGATGAGATGAACATTTCAATTAGAATCATTCTTTCTTTAGTGTTGATAGAAAACTTGTCTGCAGTTTGACGCTAGACAGTACTAAATGTAGAGAAACAAATTACTCTTACAAACTTCAGAAGTATAATGTGAGTCATTAAGATACACTGTAAATTATGTCACTAGTGCATCGAAGATAAAATTGATATTTCTTAGAGAACCACTGATTACTATCACACTGTCGACAGCTGTTAAGCCTAAGTGTAAAAAGTGGTATATCCTAGTTATATATATATATATATATATATATATATATATACGCATATCCCTGAGTATGGCCACGTGAACCGTTACTTTTAAATTCCAGCCTTAATGGTAGCTCAGTTCCTGGGTTAATTGAAAAGGCCGAAAGATAAGAGAAAGCGCATTCTGACTCCAAACTATTTACAAAATACAACGGTTCATATATATTCACAACAGCTTTGACTGTTTCTAGGTATATCTTATTGACTTCGCCTCTTCAACCAATCTGGTGTTTATACCCAGATTTTGCGTGCTTTTTCTTGAAAATTCGAAGCAACAAAATTGGCTGTAAAAGGCTTCTGGGAATCACGACATTTTATGAGCACCTGGGTAGTCTTTCTATGCCATAACATGAAAGTTGTTTACTCATAAAGTTTTGCCTTATACAGGTCAGGAATAACAGGTTTGTGTTCAGACGCTACCATTCAGCCACCATATTGAAATGCCATGGCCTACATTCCCGAACTCAGTTGCTTTGCGATAAAACGTAACTGTTTATCAATGTCATCATTATGCGTCCATCCTCTTATTAAGTTAGAAGCCACTAAGATTGTGAAGTAAAAACCCGTCATTGAATCATATTGTCTGGTCCGAAAGTTAAACTTAGTCTTTGGATATAACACTTAAGTAATTTTCAAACCTAGGAAACTGATATCTGGGTACATTCTGTATTATGCCGTATCCCAAAATAAATAGTGGTAAACCCGTTACCAGAAAGCGATTAACCTATTTTAGGTGCTTCAGTAAGTTAACTGAAACAAGTCAAAATCCAGAGGAGAACACTACATATGTTCGTCTATATTACTACATTATTGGGACTTTTGAAACTAAAAGAGACTTTTTACTGCATAAGTGGTTTGAAAAGTGTTAAATGTTGTTAAATTCCGCAAATTTTAGGTCACTTACTATTTTCATACTTCAATGCAAATCGATAAGTATAGAATGCACGACTTAGATGTGATGGCACAAAATGAGTTTGAAAATAGTCATAAATTAAAAATGTTCAGTTTTCTCTGAAAATAAATGGCTTCTAAACGAGTTCAGTAGTAGCTCTTAAGCTAAAGTACTCAAGCGTCAAATACAATTCATGTAACTCTTTGAAAACATGTACACAATGTTTTGCTGTCTCAGTGTAAGATGATTTCTGATCAGTCCATTGTGTACAGCTGATTTATATTAGTAGTTTCTCATGCAGATAGGAATCATTACAGGGATTAAATTTATTTTCGATCAGATGCTCATCAACATAGCCTTTCATCTTCTCAGAGAAGCCTAATGCTTCTTTCTGAAGTTCAGTAATTGTTATTTAGTGCTCCAGTCAAGAAACTTACAACTGCTCCAGTTAGGGGATGAGTAGCTTTGTAGAAGACCCACTTTAGTAACACGACTAACCAAGTAGGACAAAGTAACGTTTACCTCCTAAGTGAATTCTATCTACTAAGTTGTACAAAGCGGATACAAACTAGCTGGATTGATACTGTGTTTTTCATAAACAATAGTAGGTGAAAAAACTATAAAGAAGTCCAAAGTATAGTGTGACCGAATCTATAAAATGCGGTTCTAAGAATATACATTGAATTCTGGTAACTACTGGAAAATAATTCATTCAACAAGTTACCTACCACAATTTGATTTGCATGAGTGGATATTCAATAAAACTGTAAATGCATAAACCACTGACAATCATAAGGAAAAGGAGCAAAGTCAACCGCATTGAAGAACTATTTCACACTGAAATAAACACATTTTGTTAGTTGCACATTGGTGAACACAAACCAGAAACGAAAAAACATTCCAGAATAATTTCCAGTCATAGATCAAAAGAAGGTGAATAATTAAAAGAGAATTACATTAGTTATCAGGGGTTGGGAATAAAAGAGTAAACAAAAGACTAGACAACTAAATATGACTTCATTGTTAAAGAATAATTCATGGTGAACAGATTTTACGATGACCACGACATAGAGGAATATTGCAAGCACCTCTCCTGAATATAGTTTGACGTCTTGAACTTCCAGATTGTTAATGATCCTGCTATTCTTACATGTCTTGTTCATACTCTGCTGCAGTGTATTTTTCTGGAATTTCAAAAACCTCTAAATATTTCCACTTCTGTTACACAGCTGAAGGTGCATCCGCATTCTCATCTTGTCAGCTAGGTTATATAGTACTCACAAGTGCATTTTACAAGCTGGTACACAGTAAGGCCAATACATTAGATGTCATAGAAACAAGTGGTGTTATACTTATATATATATTATATATATATATATATATATATATATATATATATATATGTATATACATGATCCAGTCCTTAGGCTTGAATTTGTTTACAGACAAATTAGTTTCTGATGGCAGAAGATAATTCTCATGTTTAGGGCAAACAAGCCATGGTATGAACCTTAATATTTCTCATAACCATTTCCAATTAAACTATAAAAATTGAATTTCATAGAGATAACAATTCAGATAATCATGGAGTCATACTTATTTACTACTATTCACTCATCACTTAAAACCAACAAATGTTTTTGATTCCTATGTCTTCCCAGCTGATACGTTATCACTTCAAACAATGTTTTAGCGGAAATTGCTCATGCAGAATAGAAAACCCTTGATATGGTAAACACTATCACTAACCGAAATCAGTTGTACTGGTTCTATATATTGATTTATTTTTCATGAGTTTAGTAACCTAAAAGATTGGTAATATTTACCGTAGGAATAAGATTTACGCCAATAACGTTTAGTTATGTATTAGGTGGGATTTCTATGAATGTCGACTAAAATATCATCCAAAATTCTTAAGGACTTGGTGGGATATGTAGAAAGATCTGACGTTATTTTAGATTAATCTTGCTTATAGAGATGTCAGACAAGTAAATACTATCCGTAAAACAGTTTTCAAAAAGATTTTCTTGAAGTCTGTAGCTAACCAATTTTTAGTGTGCTTCAAGGTATCAGAGGAAAACCTATGCAGTAACAGGGAATATTCATCAATGGAAACATCCGAATAAAAGTGTTAGTGAATTACATTATTCCTATTTTCGGCTGGATGTTCCTACTTAAAGCCAGATAATATTACCATGATCTCTTTAAAGCAAATTTTCACGATATGTTACTTAAAAGCTAAAATTATCACCGAAGCTGTTCAAAATAGATGAACAAAACTGAACAAAAGGAGGATCTACATAAATACAGGCATAATGTCGACCAGAATCACATACATTACTCAATAAAGAGTTAATCCAAGAAAGTTAAGCTTTAGATTATCTGTTGTACAACAGTGTCTGTGGCTCTTCCAATGTTAAGGTTTAACGAGTGAAATTCAGTGGTAAGAGGAGAATAATTTCCATATCACTGCTGAATTAACATTAAGATGCAGCTGATCCTATAGAAACTAAAAGAGTATAAGCCATTAAAACTACAGCTTCTAATTCGACAATTTTCACTTCATTTTGCTAACTTCACACTAATAGTACCATGAAGAGACAGATAACTTCAAGATTTGCTTCCACGAGCAAGATGATAGGCAAATTTGTCGACGCTATGCGACAATACTTCTTGGGCTACCGGAATAAATATCCATGATTACAATGCAGCGCTCTTGTTGTGAAACGAACTCGCTTCCATTCGGTGAGAAGTATACTTTGTCGGGGACACGAATAGTGACAGCAAAGTTGTTCTAGACTTCACTGCAAACCCGCATCGTTTGCATAGTTCAAGTTACTGACTAGCTCATTTTTTTATAACAAGCTGTTGGTCTTTTGAAAGAAAAAAACACTTTTCATGGACGTAAGCATTTATAAGTAAACATTTTCGCATCTTATCATCCTAAATTTTTATGCTTATAGACCGTTTAACATTTATCACTCTCATGGGCTGGGCACCCATCGTGACGTTTAAATCACTGTATACCTGAGGTAACAATGTTTGCCAGCCGAAAGAATTATGCATGCACAGGAAGTAGTGATAATAAAGTATTCTTTGAGAAAATTACCACGTACACAATTGCTGAAATTCATATACCTGCGGGTACTGAGATAAACCATTACTTGTTTAAAGTGGCTGAAATCACTTTTTGCGTTAATTATGTGTTTTCTACCTGAAGTATATCCTTTTTCTAAAACAAATTTTTCTGAATATCATCTTTTCTAACCAGTGAACTTTCATTCTAGCACAAAAATATGTCAAACTTATGAATTATATAACCTCAGGATTTCATTCCACTGGTTTGTAATCTGTTTCAGAATGATGATGTAATTTCATCCATAGATTTCAAGTTGGTATTCATCATGCACTGATGTAGGTTGAAAAATATTAGAAACCCGAGAGTACTAGATACCCGTTTTTTCCTATTTTGAAAATTCTGAGAAGTGCAGCCAGGCAATAGAAAATAGTATATATGGACCGTCGTATTCCAACCCAGCGGCTCAATAGTAAACCGCTGGCTGCGGATCCTAAAGGTCATAGGTTCCATCCCTAGTGCAGTCATGAATACGCACTGCTGAGAAGTTCCGTACAGAGACGAAACTGCTGTCCCACGCTCCCAGGTTTTCAATGTTTCTCTAGTTGATGTCAATGCATGATGAATACCAACCTAAAATAAATAAATAATTCCCCACAAACTTCCAAATACGATTTTATTTGTTTAAAACGAAGGACCGTTTTGAGTTGAAAAAGGAGGTTCCCACCTTGTGTGAAGTAAATGAAATCAGCCCTACATTAAGCAGCTGATTAATTTGACATATCAGTAATGTCGAGAATAATCTTTGGCAATACTGTTATCAAGAGTATGCGATATAATAACAGAAAACATTTGACTCAGTGATGTTACATATTGTAGTCGACAGAAAGTTTTTCCTTTTCTCATCCAAGCGGTTTACCTTCGAATTTAAAGTAATTCCAAGGTGCTAAGAAATCATGGATAAATTCGTTGACATTCTGAGTTCGTAACCAACTGAAGTGAACTAATAATATGAGTCCTTCACTTGATACCTTAAGGTCCATCAGTAAAAGCATTTACAGACTAGACGAAGTCAAAATTATATCACACAGGATTCGTATGTCGACTTTCCTAGTAAGTTTTCGATTCGAAAAAAAATATGAATCGGAATGTTTAATCATTTTCACTGTAGAAAGGAAAAGGCTGTTTATCAATTAACTGCAAATTTTATCTAGTTGACCGTCCTAGCTCAGTGTTCATTCGATGTAGATTAGAAAAACAAAGCGCTATAACCAAATAAGACGAATAAACAGTTCTGTATATCACCATATCCAATTATACTGTTTTTGTTACCGCTATTTGTTTTGAGAGATTTTTTTATAAATCTCTGAAATTACCATGCTCAGAGGGAAAAATCTAATATCAAAAGAGAAAAACGTCTTTATTATGTTGATGAATAAGACAAGAAAAACAAAGGAATCCGAAATAACAGAAAAATCGAACACACTTAGGCGGAAACATATTTTAACGGCACATCAGGCTTGAGTCCTGTTTTGAAAAAATGATTAAGAGTATCATTGCTTCAAGCGAATTTTAGCGTGGATGAACAGGCTTCTTGTCTTATAATTTCTTCAGTTTCCTACAAAAAGTGAAAGACAAGTCAGCAATGAGAAACTTAAACAAAGGGTGGTGAAGATTTATATCCGTGATTACAGATTATTATCTGATTTCCCACACTTTTTAGTCATATCAAACTAATAAAAGCGGAATTCATTAAACCTCTGTTTTTCAACATTGATATTTTCATTAACAAAATAAGGTGAATTTTAATATTATATATATATATATATATATATATATATATATATATACATATAATATATTTTATTACCAAGACTAGTGTCATAACCTTTTCATTTTCACTATATTTGACCTTTAATTTTCATATATAAATTGACTTGACAAGTAAATGTGTGATCAGATTGTTTGAAATGTATTACGCAAATACATCACACTTTTCAGATAATCTTCGTCTTCTAATAGCGTTGTCAAAATTTATTAAAGGGACTAATTGTTTCAAATTTGAATTTTAATACTTGTTAATTTTCATTAAATGGTACATACCTGAAATTAATAACCATAGAGTTTTAAGGTAATTAGTCTGATTGTGACTAGCAGAAAAACCCAGAACATGCGTTTCGTCCTACTTGGGATTCGTCAGCTGGACGTGCTTGCACCTCAGTGGGTGACGCTGTCCCCACTGAGACTCGAACCTCGTACTCATCGCTTCAAACGCCAGAGAGTTGTTCATTATGCCACGAAGGAACGACAGTGACTTCTTGTACAACCAAACTAATTACCTTAATTAACATTCAGGCAATATCAAGGCATCCGCATAGGAGCCCATATACTAAGAGAGGTCGGACAATTCGATCCAATAAAACAACGGAGAATTACAAGTATATATCAATCAATAGTAATAACTACTAGCCGTTGTAAAAGAGATGGCCATCGTTCCTCCGTGGCATAGTGGATAACGCTCTGGCGTTTGAAGCGATGGGTACGAGGTTCCAGTCTCACTGGGAACAGCGTCACTCACTGAGGTGCAGGTACGTCCAGGTGACGAATCCCAAGTAGGATGAAACGCGCGTCCTGAATTTTCCTGCTAGTCACAACCAAACTAATTACCTTAATTAACATTCAGGCAATATCGAGGCATTCGCATAGGAGCCCATAGGCCAATAGAGGTTGAACAATTTGATCCAATAAAACAACGGAGAATTCCAAGTTTGACAATAAATAGTCATAGAGTTTTAAGATTAAAATATATTCTTTATTTGTCTGTATGGGTAAGGTATATATCCCGAAGATAATTGATTTGCTACGTTATGAAGATATGGTCGGGCAATTTTAGAACAAAAAGACGGAAAAATAAAATGAGTCTTGCTGATATAACTAACTGACACTTACTGTACACTGAACATTTCCAGTCGTCTTTACCATAACCTCTCAGAATGAATTGAATTATTATTTCACTTTCATTTTATAGGCATTGTATCAGTCCCCTCCTACACATTCATCTGTTATCCCCAGAAAATCTCAGACGTCAGAAACAACACCATCAGTGCTTCCTAATAAAATTGCTGAAACCGTTGGTCCCAAAAGTTCAAAAGAAAACATCCAGCCATGTTGCACGTACTCTCAATTACCTCAAATTTCATGTGGAACACTTCGTTGCAGTTCATTAGTTTCAATTGGTCCACCTTTAAGTCTGCCTCCATCTTCATTGTTTGGTATTGAACAAAATACTGGTTGTATGTTAGGCGTGCGAACTGCATGCTGCCGGAAGTCACATTATATTAGTTCTGTTGTTGGTCTCACTGTACTTATCCTATTACTTGGTTTGGTGATGATGCAAGTGTATAAATCGCCAGCAGTATTATTGAAAAAGTCCTCAACATCAACTTCAACTCATACCAAACAGCATCTTATACAATTTACAGGAAATAAACTACCACATTTATCAACTCAAATAAATATTTTTCGTTCGTATCATGAATTAATAATTCGTGATCACAGTAAGCGATTAAATCAAGATTGGCTTGGATGGACAAGACGTAATGAAATGGCTACGCGTGGACGTGTACTCAACTACTTATCAAGGTTTAAATACGAATTGGTAAGTTGGGGTCATAGTTAATACCTCCAGTTTCGATAACTATCAATGTCTCTTTTAAAAATTTAATAGGCATACCTCACAAGCAAATAACTCACCTGGTTGAATGAGTATTCTAGAATGAGCATTTAATAATTAAATGGTAAAATATAAGACGATACAGCGTGAAGTATATGTTGAGTTGCCAGACGTGTATCTTAGTTTACCTTTGTTCGAGCTTTAATATCTGTCAACCGTATAATTATTCGTCATGGTAAACAAATAGCAGACACAAATTTTGACTCGTTCTGTAGATAAATTAACCGTGACCGAATAACTATAAGGTTCATAAACGCTGGCCTTAGCCGTATTAGACGGTGTAAGTTGCCTTTTTGGAATCGTCGAAATGTTTAGACTCAATAGTTAGAAACTCAAGGTTCCATAGCCCAAAATCTACCAGTATGTTATTGATGCTTTAGCTTTTTCCAGTTTTTTTTTCATTTTTTCTTCTCTACCACTCGTTTCTTAACTATTTACTTCAACTTTTCATCGTTATATGAATATAAAGTAAAGTTACTGGCATCGTAGTACTAGATTATTTCGTAATCCATCCCGTATGCTAAAGAGGACTGCTTACATCTACCTATGTCGGCTAGAATATGAACATAATTGTTTCACTATTTAAAGAAGCCTAAAATATCTGGTCGTTTAACTGCACAGAACATTAATGTTTTTGGTGATTAGAACTTTCATCGATAAGTATTTTCAACCCACCATAGTACGATAGTAGAGCACTTGACTGAATAAATAATTGTTTATTCTCCTGTACTAGAAATATTAATTTGTGGTCGCTTAGCAGATTAAATGCACACTGGTTGCAACCGAAATTTTAAAACTAACTTTTCTGATGGCAAAAATAGTGAAACCAAAGTCACAGTAGACACAACCTACGAGTATAAGTTACTATATGTAAACACTGTCTTCAGTTTAGTAGTTTTCAGAACTGTATTTCAGAAAAAAATTTAGTCACTGCTAGTTTTTCAGAATGAGGTAACATGATGATGATACGGAAGTCAGTTCAGCTGCGAAACACATGCTTAATTTCATTCTATCTATAGTGACATCTATAGTGACATGAGTTACGTTTAATATGCCTTCCCAAACCTATCGATGAATATCTCAACCACCGAACCAAGTTAACAGTTCCCAAATAAATTTTCATATTTGAGACTTATTTACTCACTAAGCATGTTGCCATTATGAACTGTGAAATGAAGACCTTAGTATTACTGCTATCTAATACTCGTTTAGACCGGAAGAAAGGTAGATTTCACGTAGTTATCCGCGGACTGCACTTTATGCTTTTGTTTATGTCATTCACGTTTATAAAGCGATCTTCAAGGTTTAAGGATTTTTCATTTCAAAAAACCATTGAAAATGAAGGATGACTAAACAACTATTCCATCCGAGCTTGAATGTACCCTCTGATTAAATGGTCCAGCATGTACTCCGAAGACTAGAAGTATTGAATTCTACACGGTATAAAGTTAAAGGTAGGCACTGGTGTTAGGGTAATTAAAAAAAACAGCTTCCTAGTGTTCCTCGATCATCAAAAGTTCAGAGGTTGACAGACTCATCTCCAAAAACCAGATAATTCAACTTAAGATGAACGAAGCTTTTATTTTTACTACGCCTAACATCTTTCAGTTTACGATAGCTTTTAAAATAATTTACTTCCATTTTTTTATTTTCTGCTAAATAATTAAAGTCAATTATCTACGAAATCAGCTGCTTTTCATATAATCTAATCTTTTTTACCGGATAATTGTGAATTCTGCCGCAATCCTTTAACTGTTACAATTTATTATCAGGAAGCTACTAACCAATTAACTGTTCTTGTTTACCAACATCTTTCCTACTTCTTGCTAATTTGTCAACAATTCAGTTTATCTCAATAGCTTTATAGTATTCTGGAAAGGTGAAAAGTAAACATTATCTCTGCATGTCTCTTTCTCATATGCACTGCAATTCGTGAACACTGAATTCTACTTCCCTTTCAACCTTGTCAAGCTTTATTTTCGGATTTTTGTGCCAAGTGCCTGCATATTTCTAGGACAAAATATTTTTCAAATATAACATTAGTGTGTCAGTGCATAAGCAGTAAAAAACTGATGTTTTTGTTAGGATAACTTTAAACTGCAATCCCAATTGTTGTTCCATACTTATTATTACTGTTGTTGTTTACTGGTAATGAATTTTTTGACAACAGTAACGATGATAAAAATGATAAGGTTGAATATTTACCCACACAGTATTCAACTGTGTACCATAGTCTTTGGTTGAACTAAATCATTTTGTTCTTCAACATCAATGGCTTAGAACATTGAGGCATATTTTGTTGTCCTATATTTTAAGACCTCTCTAGTTTATTACCAGTGATGATTCATGTCAAAAAATATAGCCTGCAGTTTGGAAAGATTTCACTTAATCTTATGGTTGAAATTGTGTTGAATTGTCAATGTAAGGGAAGCAGACCAACAGTTAAGATATACTGACGAACAAATAGCTCAATGTTAAGATGACTGGAAATCGCTCCACATAACTTGTTATTTTTGGTCATAAATCAAAAGTCTTTTTAAATAAAATAAGCAATAACTTTGGGAGAACTAAACACTAGTTGCAAACTTTTAAGCTAACCTAGCTTTAGGAGGAGATTTCGAACAAAAGTCTTCATGAAAAAAATGATCGATTTCGATCGAAATGATCTAAAATTTACAACCATAGTCTCTTAACATTTAGCTGACTTTATCCAAGTAGTTAGCATTTCCAGAAGAGGCTAATCTAAGTGATCAGAAACGTGATGAATTGATGTCGTCCCACAGTGCTGCATTAATTCGAAATATCAGTACTTCAGAAGATTATTTCATCCGAACATGACTGAAAGGAGCAGAAGAAAATGAAACATGCGTAAGTCGTTACCAGAAATATTGTTAAATATCACAGCACAATGAGCATTGAATATGCCGATAGCATCAGTATTGAACTACCCTATATTTAGATTCTAAGCTATTACCTAAATACCTTTGCTATCTTCAGGAATTCGATCAACTGAGGTGCTTAGCAGATGGAGAGGGAAAAATGAGCTCACTCAGCAGCGTATTCTTAGCTGCATCATTATAAGGTGTATCATTATTGAAAGATACGAGAATGTTGGTATCCTTTCATTCACATTTATTTAACTTAGACTTCAGCATTTTAAATAACTTATTCAGGAGAATAAGTCAAAATAAATTCTTCAGATAATGACTTCTTATACTGTTTATTTCCATTGTCTACAAAGAGTTCAGTCAGTTCAGTCAAACTGATGTCGCATGATGAGTTAAACAACAACCGGTAAACTGAAAACTTACATCATGCACTTATATTTGAAAAAATCAGTCCCTTTCATGAATTTACCTCGTATCATTAGAAAACAAGGTTTATCTAAACAGTGTGAAGTATTTGTGTAATATATTTCGATCATTCTGATCCCATATTTACTTGTCAAGGCAATTTTTTAAAGCAGGGAGTGGATGGACAATTATAGCAGTTAAAGTGAGAAAGATGAAAATTAACAGGAAGAGTGTTAAGAAAACAAAGTTTACGAAGAAGGTATAGTATAAGGACAAATTTTTTTGTACATATAGAAGTGATTCCAATCTGTATATGCTTATCGCTTCTTCAGATCACAGCACATCTCTGACTATTTCTATATAAAACTTTGAAAGTTGTTTTAATATTAATTTTGTCATCTGTTTTTATAATATGTTTGGCTGCACATGAAGAAGGTCGTCTCCCACCTGCGATTATCAAGGTTTGACACTTCATTTGTTTTTGAAGCCATTTAGGTACATATCCTTCCACCCTCAACTGCATGGCTCGAATACTCCTCCCTATGTATGTGCCACCACACACGTTAACTGGTAAACACATTGGGATATGACGCAATCATTGATGCAGGGTTTAGATTTGTGAAGGAGCATATGTCTTATTTTTTCCACATAATAAGATTAGTGCGTAATATGATTTCTTGGTAGATTATGCTAACCTTCGTCTCAAAATTATACTATTCAGCTCCCCTATGTGTGGTAGTGTAATAGACGCTTTCCTTAGGAATCGTGTAAACAGTTAAATTCAGTGCTACCTGACTTCTGCAACGGTTGATAAACTGTAATGGATATCCGTTTTCCATAAGTGTTCTGGTCAGTTATTTTACATCTTCATCCATCGTACCTGATGTGCTTATACGATAGATCCTATTAAACAGGCATTTTACTAGATCTGGCTTGTATTGTATCGGATAAAAGCTGTGAAAATTCAGATTTTGTCCTGCACATGTAGGCTTTTTGTAAACTAACCATGTTAATGAGTCATCTTCTTGTCGGCTCAGAAGTATATCTAAGAATGGCAGATGATTATTATTCCCTTGCTCACAAGTCAGACAAATTATATCCTCATGCTTCTCACAAGCCACTATGATGTCATCAGAATATCTTTTGTGAAAAGAGACTTAAACGATGAGATCACCGGCCAGGTTTTCGATATATGACAAATAAGTATCAGCTAATAGTGTTCTTAAGGGACTACGCATAACTACACATTCAACTTGTCGAAAACTTTCACCTTCAAACGTGAAGTAAGTTTTGTCAGTAAACAGCAGTAACAGTTTCCTCAAGAAAGTTGGAGTAACAGGAAATGAGAGGTTTCTAGCAGATATATGGTCACAGAAAATTTTAATAGTCTTGGACAACGGCAAGTTGAAGAATAAAGAATATACATTGAAAGAGTATATTGTCTTATTTTTGGTATTCATGTTACTGAGGCAATCAACAAGTTGATAAGTATCCTTAAATGAAAAGTTACAGAATTCTTTTCGAACTGGATTTAACATTTTCGCCAACTACTTCACCAGTTTATGCGTGGAGGAACGACACAGACAATAAAGGGCGTAAATGATCATTGTTATTTTTTTGTAATTGTCTTTC